AAATTTGTGCGAGTCGACATTCTGTCTCTTCGTCGATTCTTACCTAGATCACTCTCTTTTGATCATCCATTTTTTCAGTTTATTGTCCAAATCTCCTGAATTCCAAATTACTTCCGAGGAAGAGTGAAATATCATACGGTAGCCTCCAATTTTGATCTTTTTTCAGCAACAGGCGGCTCCAGTTTTTTCCTCCGTCGGAGTTATTGACTCTAGTCCTTCCGTTGCCAAGGACCTCGGCGACCGAGCCATGTTACTCCGTTATACCCGAAGCAGCTCGCGTCTAAGGCAAAATCAGTTGATTAAATAAGTCCGTACCTCGTGCCTCTCAATGGCGTCTTGGTTTCGTCACCATGTATGGCAAGCTCTGTTTCTTCTGATGAATCGAAGTATGTGTTTTAGTTTGATTCTGCTTTTATCTTATTATATACCTAGTTAGGTTTCTCGTGTTTGTTTTACTGTGATTATAGTATTAATGGAATCTTTGCAATCTCTGTCTTTGTCTTTGTTTTAATCTTTGTTTTAAGCTATTAAATAGTTGGAGTTTATAAATACCCTTGTAATCTCTGTCTTTGTTTTCTTAGAATCGAGGATACTAAATACATTTGTTTTAGCTGTTGATTGGTATTAGTTTCTTTTCTATTTTTTTACTTAATACTTGACTATGTTTTGAATCTTGATGTCTTCTTTAAAGTTTGATGTCTTCGGTTTTTCATTGGATCCATCGAGCTTGATGATGTTTAAGTTTGTTGGTGAAGGATGACATGTTCCGGTAACGACTGTTCCGGTGAAGGATGACATGTTGTCTAGATCATCTAATTCATTTATAGTTATTTAAGTTTCTCAATTGTCATTCTTCATATTATCGCTTGTGATCTTAGTTTGCATCAGATTCTTTCTTCATCTAAGGATTAGTCCTTATGTATGTGCACTGTGCAGAATGGAACTTCGAGTACTGCTAGTCTAAATCTAGATAATTTTCTGTTTGTTTCTGTTTAATGGAACTTCGAGTAATCGCTTGTGATCTCTGTTTGTTTCTGTTTAATTTTTTCAGTAGATGTCATGTTTGACTTAGTACATTAGCCTTAAAAGAGATAGCGGTCCTTTCTAGGTTAGACTGTTTCTATACTAATCTAACGTTATTTGAAGTTATCATGATTCACACTTGTTCATTATCCCTATTTATTTTGACTCCCGAAGATAAAAAAATTAATCCCAAAACATTAGCTTTTTTCTTCTTCGTTTTGATGGTTCTAAAGAGATTGCATTTGGTTGTTAGAGATGAATCTGAAGCTTTACATTTAAATGTTGGAATATGGATTGAAATATGGATGTTGGAATATGGATTGAAAGTGCATTTCATTTATAAAAAGTTAAAAACAAAGCAGTCCTTTTGGACTTTCCTTGTCGGGTTTGATGTCGTTTATCGTGGCATAGATATTGGGTTTTCATTTGCCTCTGTCTTTAGCTTTTAAGTTTGAGTTTCGATAAAACAAAACTGGACAACCTTGAAATTAAGAAAAAAAACTAAGTGGATTTCTTCCTTTTCATATTCTCCGCTTGTATGCCTTTGTCTCCACTTAATTTGCAGAGGAATTTGGTTGCTTTTGTCGACCATGGTGATACTAATCTAATTTTTTATGTATTTGGTGGTAGGTTCCCAAAAGTTAAATGCAGTTGAATTTACTGCCGACACCACCTTCAAACAACTAAATGTTCGTTAAATCACCTGTAAGGAGTACACATCCAAAGGTCGTTGGTGAAAAGTTGCTTGCTTCAGGCTATTGGTATGATCTTTAAAATCTATTTTGGAATAAAGAAAGAATAATGAAGAACAAAAGTTAATAACTGATTTGAAGCTTTTTTTCTCATACAAAATGTTCTTTCCTCCTTGTTCGTGTATCTACGCATGGACCAGATGTGACCCGTCACAACCTCTTCCTCTTTCTTCATTCTGTATAAAGTCGGATTCTCCATTTTGCTTTGACATCCTTCAGGTATGTGAGGGTTAGCCATTTTTCTTATTTTGTTCCTCTCCTTTAAAGGTTTCTAGAAATATTATGCTAAAAAAGGTTTTGTAGACACCTCTATTGTTTTTAGTTACATGGGTTAATGAAATGAAGTAAACGCAAATACTGGTTCAGTGTAAAAGTTTCATGAAACTATTTTTACTCAGTGTTTATTAGAACAAACTCTTAACTTCCGCCTCTCTTTTCTCTTTGTACTTGGACATGATGTCTTCCACATGAAGTACATAACCTATAACATCTGACAAAAGCATAGTTCCAATTGAGTTGTTGAGAATTTATAATTTACACAAACTTAATGCCGTGTTGTCGTTCGTGATTTCAAACTTAGATAGTCGAGTTTGATTTTTTATTTATTTGCTGCTTACGCTATTTCAGTGATCTTGATGTGTTTAAGTGTTTCATTTATAATAGTGAAACACTTAAACACATCAAGATCACTGAAACACTTAATACTTCAACCTTCTGTTTTCTTCTTTGTTACTTAATACTTGGCTTTGTCTTAAATCTTGATGTCTTCTGTAAAGTCTGATGTCTTCGGTATTGAGCTTGATGATGCTTATGGAGAGAAATTGATATATTTAATAGACATATGTCTGACAATTTCTCTTATAACACTAAACTCGATGAGTCATAAGTGTTTCGTTCTTAATAGTATTGATTTTCTCATATGTTCTTTTGTTAAAAGAATTTGGTGTGAGAATTTCTCGATATCTTAGTACTTGGTAGTATGAATATTCCCTCTTTGTTCATTATCGTTAATAATGAGTCATTGTGCTATTATGCAGTCTGCGCTTGTTTCTCTTTTATTTTCTTTTGCCATGTATTACGTTTCTACTTATATAGCTTTTGGTTATATCTTGCTGTGCAGACCGGTTGAATCCGAAACCAACCAATCCCATCCTGCAAGTTTGAAGAATAAAAGAAACAGTTCGAGTGCTTTTATAAGAAAAAAGGTACAAACCAGTAAAACTTGATGTATCGTCCCATTGCATGATTTACATTGAGTATCATATGGTTTTTTGTTCTCCCTTCACATTGGCATGCATCTTTACATCTGAAAGAGATAAAAAAAAAATTCATTTAGAACAGATCGGGAATGTGATATAAAAATGTGATATCCGAACATATACCAAAGTTCTGGTAATGCCATTTGCTCCTCATTGCTCTGGTATCCAATCGAATAAAAAAATTTCTGTGTTTCATTTCTGTATTGGTAAAACATATCCAAAGTACAGCAAGTTAGTTTCGTTTTGAGAAAGACTAAGAACTTGTTTAGACAGCAGAAAAAGATTAACAAAATAAAACGGAATAAGAATTATTTGAAGCACAAAATTTATACTATGCAACACATTGTTTTGTTGTCTATTTCCGTTACCTTGATATTGTAAAACTCCAATGTATGCAGATCGCTAATTTGGATGGACCAACTTACTTTGAAGTGCTCCGAACCTAAGACTGCAAGGTAATGGCTTGTTAAGCACATATAATAAGCTATTGTTATCGAAATTAGCGAAGACTGAATTAATAAATATTAGTATGTTTAAGTATGCACATGAACAAAGGTGATTAAAATTTGCAAACCTGTTAGTAAGTAGTTTGGATCCGCATTTCAACACAATTAATCCAGTTAAGCCTCATATTTCTTCAGCTCTTTCTTTCTTTCTGAAAACGATGAAACAAAAAAAACACGTTGTGAGTAAGTAGTTTGGAACCCACAATAAAATCTTTAACTTAATACAGTTTATAAAGAGATTTAGCATGTATTTGTTTATTTTCTGATAACTTAACCTTACATCTTGGTCCGCCAGAATAATCTTCATTGTTGGTCCAGCAGCTGTTGTGTATTGCTTCCAAACATGAAGAAGCTTGACTTGGAATTCGCCAACCTGTTTAAAAGGGATTAAAGGTATGTTAAACCAAAACACAAAAATCACGTATTAGCTCTGCTTGTTTTGTTTTTGGTAGGCTAGAGATGGAGGACTATTTATACTAAAACGATTAGGTTAAAGATTTTATTTGATTATAGTTTAAACTTGGAGGTTAAGCAAATCTTACCGAAATTTAGGAAACTTTTGAATAGAAGAATTACTGTTCACACAAATTTTAGATTTTTTCATGAATTTCTAATAATACTAAATATATTCTGAACTGTTAATTAGCGAGATTTGTGTGGAAAGTGTCCATATATTGTTCTTGGAGTATATTCTAATATCACAGATATTTATTTATGGTAATGTATCGCAGATTTTCCGTCAATCCGAACTGGAGGAGATTTTTTCGATAGTATTAGTTGATTAGGAAGATTGCAGATTTTTCGGAGTTGGAGTTGAGATTTGGAAGTATGTTAGCTTCGTCTCATAATTTTGAAGAAGATTCGATTGGACTTCGGTTATGGGTTTTATTTTATTGATAAGCCTCGATCAAATTCGGTTATTGCTCAAACGATTTCCGGTTTGATTTAAGTTCCCCTAGGATCCGCGTGTTTTTTTTTCGGGTCGGGTCGAAGGTCCGATGTCTGTCCCCTTTTGACACTTTCGACACTTTTTCTGTGTCTATCCCTGTTTCCAAACAGAGGAGATCCGAAAATGCTGTGGACAGAAATGACCTCACTCCAAAAAAATCTCCTTTGAAAAACGTGGGGGGTAAATTGTCTTTTTAATAGGATCCGACCCGATTTTCTTTTGGGTTATATTGAAAATTTCGGATAACTGGGATAATTTTCTGTTTGGTAACACAAATAATTATAGCATGCACCCTTGATTGCTTCCATTTTAATAGTATAGATTTGGTACGAGGGAAATCAAATTTTTCACTTTCCCGCCCTGTAATAAAATGGTGAAAAATGACATACACATGGTAATCGGCAGAGATTTTTTTACTACACAGAATTAAGAGTTTAATATCTCTAAGAACACTACTATTTCGGACCGAAGCCAGGTTGTGATCAGATAGATACCTACAAAGGAGAGCATCATGAAGAAGAAAACAGAGGAAGTTGTCATCGATGGATGTCCCAGAAAACCTCCTAGATCCAGAAAGAGGAAAAGCTCATATGACAATAACGACACCTGCAATGGAAAATCTGTAAAGGTAAATAAAAAAAAATCACTTAGATTCAAACTCATTTATAACAAGTTAAATAATGGATGAACTTTTTATGAACTAATAGTCATTATCAGGGGATGAGCGTTGATAATCACATAGTAGATGGTGCAGAGGATCCTAAAACAACCACAACCAGAAAAACGAGAAAACGAAGAGCATCAACTCAAACCATCAAAAAACCTTCCAACACGAAAACTCAAGCATGTGTACCAGTAAGAACAATTTTTAGCAGAATCTTTGATGGTGTTAACAACATAAATACAAGCTCTGTAAGGGCTACGAGTTTGAAACGCGTCGATATTAATGGTTCCCCATTGTTTACAAAACCGACTTTCCAAGGTACTAAGTATTTCTCTCATGGCTTATAATTTAACTCATTGGCTTTACCGTTTATAACTTACGTAGTTTCAACTGTGGAGTAATAGCTGATTGATTCATTTCGTCTGAAACAGTGCCTGATAGAACACCAGTAAGTGCTGTCACACTGAACAGTCAGAAGCGAACCACACGTGGTCGGAAGTTGATGCGAGATCTTTCCATCTGCAAACAATTGAGACGGAAACAAAAGTACCATCTTCTAAACGCAAACCTAGAGGAAAAATAAAACATACTGATGAGACTACTATTGAAGATAGACCACATAATTTCCCAGATTTGTTGGTATCTTCGGAAGGCAAGTTTTTCTGGTTTGAGTATTGTTTTCAATAGTTTCATGGTGAATTCAAAAATTATCTAAACTATGACATTTTGTTATTTTGTAGATGATGATGGAGATTATGACCATATATTTCAGTGTAGTAGCCCAGAAACCACGGAAGATGAGTTATCAAATGATGAATCAAGTTGTTCAAAAGACAAACCTTGCAGGATGTGATCAGCCTCAACCGGAATTCGCAGAGGTTAGATCCAAGAATCCACGAAAGCCGTGTGTCCAAGCTGAAACTAAGAAACAACCAAACTCGACAAAAGGAACCAGAGCGAGGAGGAAAGTGAAAACAAAGGAACCATTAAAACTTGGTAATTAATAGTCTTGCATAATCTTGGTAGTTTCTAATTTGTAGAAAATACACTAAGTTTCTGGTGATTTTGGATTGTCCCGTACAGAATATAATGATGAGGGTGATATGACATATCGTTGCACTCACTGTGATGCTAAGTTTTGGTATGGTGAACGTATCAACAAGAAGAAGAGGTCACGCAATCCAGTCTTCACGCTTTGCTGTATGCAGGGACAAGTAACGTTGCCGTTGCTAAAGGATCCTCCTCCTGAAATTAAAAATTTGATTTATGGAGATGATGAATTAAGCCGACATTATCAGAAGCACATCAGGCCTTACAGCATGCTTTTTTCCTTTACTTCAATGGGTGGAAGAGTTGATCATTCTGTAAAAAAAGGGAGGGGTCCACAAATGTTTCAGTTGCACGGAGAGAATTACCATTTAATGGGCAGCATGATTCCACAACCTGGAGATTATGCAAAATTCTATCAGATGTATATTGTTGACATGGAGAATGAGATCGAAAATAGGCTCACTTTCCTCAGGTAATTTATATTACATAGTTTATAATTTAATAGTATAGATTCTTGAATCACAAACAGTTTATGTTATCATTAGTACTAACCTGTTTATCCTCTCTTATCCAGCAAGGCTAAAAATGCACAAGAATCAACTAAGAAGAACCGACTACGGAAGGAAATCATTGAATTGTTCGTCAAGGTCTTAGATGAGCACAACCCGTACGTGAAGACATTTCGGTCTGCAAGAGAGAGATTCAACACTGACCCTGAGCACAGTTTTCACATGAGGATTATAAGTGATCGTGTTACTGATGGAAGAACTTACAACACTCCTACGGCTTCTGAGGTTGCTGCAATCATTCCCGGAGATTTCAATTTTGACATGGGGAAGAACCGTGATATAATCCTACAAAAACAATCCGGAAAGCTGAGGCGTATTAGCGAGATTCATCCGTCGTATATCCCACTACAATATCCTACGTGTTTCGTTTATGGAGAAGATGGTTTCAGGCTTGGAATTAAGAAAGCAGATTCAGTTTACGGGAAAAAAAATAAGAAGGAAAACATCTCTGTTAGACAGTTTTTTGCTTTCCGTCTATTTGAAAGAACAAAAGAGTCTAACCATCTCTTACACTCGAGGAGGCTGTTTCAGCAGTACTTGGTCGATACCTACACCATGATTGAGACTAACAGGCTTACCTATCTGCGGATGAACCAGACAAGCTTGAGATCAGACAGTTATGACTCAATCAAACAAGCTGAAGACGCAGGTGTCATTGAAATGGAGGAACAAGGTAATAAGTTTTACTTGCATGCGTCTTTCACTGGAGGACCAAGGTATATGAGGGAGTTATATTTCGATGCGATGGCGATATGCAGACATTATGGTTTCCCGGATTTGTTCATCACATTTACATGCAATCCTAAATGGCCAGAACTAACCCGAGAGCTTGATGGTACAAATCTGAAACCTACGGATAGAGCTGAACTCATCTGCAGGCTGTATCATATAAAACTAGCGTCACTCATGGAAGACTTGACGGATAATGGACTCCTAGGCCAAACAGTTGCGTGTAAGTTTTGTACCAATCCATCATATTATAAGTAGTAAACTAACAAGTATGTTTTCATTTGATTTCTGCACAATTATTATTCCTATGATTCACGATCACTTCTTTTAACAATGCAGCAATGTATACAATAGAATTTCAAAAACGAGGACTGCCACATGCTCACATTCTTCTGTTTATGCATCAGAAGTGCAAGTTTCCAACTACGGATGATATCGATAAGATTATATCAGCAGAGATACCAGATAAGGTGGAGGAGCCAGAACTATATGAAGTTGTGAAGGATATGATGATTCACGGTCCTTGCGGTAATGTGAACATAAACTCACCATGTATGGAAAATGGAAAATGTTCAAAGCTATTCCCGAAAGCTCATGCAGAGAGAACCAAGATAAGCAAAGATGGCTTCCCAATATACAGGAGACGGGACCAGCCAGGTGTGTTTATCGAGAAGAATGGTTTCAAGTGTGACAACCGATACGTGATTCCATATAACAGAGCTCTGTCCATCCGTTACAAAGCTCACATCAATGTAGAATGGTAACCAGTCAGCTGCTATTAAGTACTTATTTAAGTATATCAACAAAGGATCAGATCGTGTTGCTGTCGTTGTTGAGTCAGCTGAGCAGGCCACACTTGGTGAAGAAGCACGGCAGAAAAAGAAAAATGGGAGACCTACTAATGGAGCTAAGCAGACTGAAGATAGTTCTGAGTCCACTGAGAAGGTTGAGCAGGTTAACGAGATTAAAGACTATTTTGATTGCCGGTAAGATGTTCCATCAAAATCTTAATATATTCTGTTTCCTTTGAACATTTATGAATGAATTTTAAGGTTAGACACCGTTTTCTGAAATCAAGTTTTGAAACGTTTTGTGAAGGTTTGTAGGTGCTACAGAAGCTGTATGGAGAACACTGGGGTTTAAAATACATCATAGATCTGTGTCTGTGGTTAAACTCACTTTTCATTTAGAAGGGAAACAGTTGGTTATCTTCAAAGGGAAGGACAAGCTGGAAAGGGTTGTTACACGAAAACTGATCGAGAAGACTATGATGTTGGCTTGGTTTCAGCTGAATTTGGAAAATGAGTTTGCTAGAACTAACCTATGTTCAGATTCCAAATTTCTTTGTATATATTGCTAGCCAGAAACGTTGGAAAGAAAGGGAGACAGGTTTTGCAATTGGCAGAATCAACTATGCCCCAAGGAAGATTGAAGATGCTTATTATTGTCGGGTGTTGCTAAATGTTGTCCGTGGTCCCACATGTTTTGACGACATCAAGACATACAATGGAGTGCTATATCCGAGCAACAAGGATGCGTGCTATGCCAGGGGTTTTGTAACATCCCGATTTGTAATAAATGAGGAGAGGAATAAGAGAATTAATTTGGCTACCTATGTCATCAGAGTGCACTTACCTTTTCGGTCAAGGGCCCATAAAGAACTCCAGAGTTAAGCGTGCTTGGGCTGGAGTAGTGGAAGGATGAGTGACCTTTCGGGAAGTCCCCTACGAAACCGTGTGAGTTAGGAAAAACCATGGGAAAAGGTCGGGTGATGATTGCAGGGATAGTAAATACATTCTTCGAACCTCCCAAAAATAACGCACCGACCGTCGGACAGGGGTGGGGCCCACGGGCCGAGAGGTCGTGGGTGACTCACCGGGAGGGGCGGCGGGGGCGTTTTAAATTGGTATCAGAGCCGAACCCAGACGTATGTGTGGAGACGAGTGGGTTCTCACTGTAAAACGTCAGGGGGTGACGATCTTGGTACGCAATGGGGACGTTGCGCTCATTGAGTCGGGGTGAATTGTATCATCCCGATTTGTAATAAATGAGGAGAGGAATAAGAGAATTAATTTGGCTACCTATGTCATCAAAGTGCACTTACCTTTTTGGTCAAGGGCCCATAAAGAACTCCAGAGTTAAGCGTGTTTGGGCTGGAGTAGTGGAAGGATGGGTGACCTTTCGGGAAGTCCTCTGCGAAACCGTGTGAGTTAGGAAAAAACACGGGAAAAGGTCGGGTGATGATTGCAGAGATAGTAAATACATTCTCGAGCCTCCCAAAAATAATGCACCGACCGTCGGACAGGGGTGGGGCCCACGGGCCGAGAGAGGGCGTGGGTGACTCACCGGGAGGGGCGGCGGGGGCGTTTTAAATTGGTATCAGAGCCGAACCCAGACGTATGTGTGGAGACGAGTGGGCTCTCACTGTAAAACGTCAGGGGGTGACGATCTTGGTACGCAATGGGGACGTTGCGCTCATTGAGTCGGGGTGAATTGTATCATCCCGATTTGTAATAAATGAGGAGAGGAATAAGAGAATTAATTTGGCTACCTATGTCATCAAAGTGCACTTACCTTTTTGGTCAAGGGCCCATAAAGAACTCCAGAGTTAAGCGTGTTTGGGCTGGAGTAGTGGAAGGATGGGTGACCTTTCGGGAAGTCCTCTGCGAAACCGTGTGAGTTAGGAAAAAACACGGGAAAAGGTCGGGTGATGATTGCAGAGATAGTAAATACATTCTTCGAGCCTCCCAAAAATAATGCACCGACCGTCGGACAGGGGTGGGGCCCACGGGCCGAGAGAGGGCGTGGGTGACTCACCGGGAGGGGCGACGGGGGCGTTGCATTTTTTTTTGTAACAGCCCGGCTCACCGGCCCACCGCCGGCCCGGCGCTGTTAGGGCTGCAGCCCAATACACCCTAACCCCTCTTGTGTATAAGGCCATTGCCACTATATCAATCTAGGTTGTTGGTGAGACTTGAACCTGAGACCTCACCCTTTAAGTAGTCTTCCCTACAGGAAGCTACCACCAATTGATATGCAGATTTGAGTCTCACCAACAACCTAGGTTGATATAGTGGCAGTGGCCTTATACACCAGAGGGGATGGGGTGTATTGGGCTGCAGCCCTAACAGCGCCGGGCCGGCGGTGGGCTGGTGAGCCGGGCTGTTACAGGTTTGTTAGAGGATGACTAAGAGTACATTGATGATATTCTCAGGAGAAGCTTCACGACTTCCGCAGCTCTTCGGCAGTTATTCATCACAATGCTTAATTGGACAGTTTAACTTCTCCAGAGCTGGTTTGGAAAAATACTTGGGAGGCTCTTTCAGATGACTTACAAATGATTAGAAGACGCGAGCTTAATAGACCTGGTATATAATAAATGCATTTTTATTTTTGAAAACTATATTACATAAAGGCTCTAATGGTGATGTATGTTTCAGAATATATCTTGAGTGATGAAGACCGGAGAGAATTGTGTTTGCAAGAGATTGAAAACATATTAAAAAGGAACGGTGGAGATTTCTCACGTTTTAAGACTATGCCGAAGCCACGAAGAACTGTTGCAAGAGAGGAAAATGTTTTAATCGTCGACGAGAAAAGCTACAATCAGAAAGAACAGAAAGAGAATCACGACAGAGATTTGCCAAAGCTAACCGATGAGCAGAAGAAAGTGTATGACGAGATTGTTGGTGCTGTTTTAGAGAGAACTGGAGGTGTGTTTTTTCTATTTGGATTCGGTGGAACAGGAAAAACTTTTCTATGGAAAATATTGTCATCGGCAATAAGATGTCGGGGAGAGATAGTTCTCAACGTTGCTTAAGCGGTATAGCAAGTCTTTTGTTACAGGGAGGGAGAACGGCTCATTCCAGGTTTGGAATACCAATAAATCCTCATGAAACATCAACATGCAACATGGAAAAAGGTGGAGATCTCGCAAATCTGGTGAAAGAAGCTTCTCTGATTATATGGGATGAAGCTCCGATGATGCATAAGCATTGTTTTGAGTCTTTGGATCGCTCACTGTCTGATATTGTTGGTAATGAAGATGGGAAACCTTTTGGTGGAAAGGTTGTCTTTGGAGGTGATTTTCGACAGGTTCTTCCTGTGATTCCTGGAGCCGGTAGAGCAGAGGTTGTATGCTCTGCTCTGAACTCATCTTATCTCTGGAAGCACTGCAAGGTTCTCAAGCTAACCAAAAATATGCGATTACTATCTGACAACTTGACCGCAGAAGAAGCAACTGATCTAAAGTATTTTTCTAAATGGATTCTTGATGTTGGGGATGGTAAGATAGAAGAACCTAACGATGGAGAAGCTGAGATAGATATTCCGGAAGAGTTTTTAATAACTGATGCAGAGGAACCTATCGAAGCCATAAGCAGAGAAATATATGGAGATGCTTCTGATCTACAGGACAATACAGATCCCTTATTTTTCCAAGGCAGAGCTATTCTCTGTCCCACTAACGAAGATGTCAACATGATCAATGAATACATGCTCGATAAGCTGAATGGTTAGTCTCTTCTTTTTCAGTTTGATAAGTCACAAATTGAGTTACTTGCTAATTCAGTGCTATATGGAATTTAATTGAGTTTCTTGCTAATTAAGGTATATGATTAGAACGTTTTAAATTTCGTTTTCCAGGGGAGGAGAGAACCTATCTAAGCTCTGATACAATAGATCCTTGTGACACAGCCGCTATTAACGACGAGGCTCTAAGCACGGAATTCCTAAACAGCATAAGAGTAGCTGGTTTACCTAATCACGCTTTGCGACTGAAGGTTGGCTGTCCAGTTATGTTGCTCAGAAATATTGATCCCATAGGAGGTCTAATGAACGGAACGAGATTGCAGATAACTCAATTAGCTGATTTTATGGTTGAAGCTAAAGTTATAACAGGAGATAAGGTCGGTGTGAAGGTTATTATTCCTAGGCTTTTGATTACTCCATCGGACACCCTACTTCCTTTCAAGATGAGGAGAAGACAACTTCCTTTAGCTGTTGCATTCGCAATAACCATCAACAAGAGCCAGGGTCAGTCTTTATCACAGGTTGGGATATTCTTGCCAAGGCCTGTTTTCTCTCATGGACAGCTTTACGTCGCAATCTCCAGGGTAACCTCCAAGAAGGGATTGAAGATCTTGATCGTCGACAGCGAAGGGAAGCCGCAGAGGAGAACAACCAATGTTGTTTTCAAAGAGGTTTTCAAGAACCTCTAATCATTCTACTTCTATATGATTTTTGGATCCCATTACTAAGACATTGTTGAACTCATTATTTACAATGAGTCATATGGTAACCTATTGGTTCCACAATAATTTAATTCACGGATCATATTCAATCTTACTACGATCTAAAAATATGGTTATTTTTAATAAGTTCATTGATATCATAAAATTTGGTAATTGCAAAATAAGATATAAGTTGTGTTAATGAAATATACTATTGTAGTATTATGGGCCTAGCAATACGAGTCTTACTCTCAATTAGATGGATCCAACAAGAAAAGTAAATCTCTGCTAAGTAAAATTATAATTACGATGAATTAAGGGATATATCACAAATTTGGCATTTTGCCTTAGTGGACTCACTATAAAACAGGCCCGTTTCATCTATTTTAATTGTATCCATCAAGTCGAATTCAGTTTACTAGGGTTTTGATGTACACATATCATTTCCAGTTTTGTAATGAGATTAGATAGTGTTCAGTAAATGCCTCAAATTTCAAGAAAAGTGAAGTTGACATACCTTTGCGTGTGAAGATATCTGTATCAGAGTCTCAGCTTTTCCTTTTCCATTGAGAAGACAAATCTGCAAAAATCAATCAATGTCAATTTATTTATAAAAATATATAGATTCCAAATAAAACAGGTGTAATAAAAGGAAAATAAATATACTACGGGACGATGTTGTGCCTATAAATACAAGAAACACAATTTAACCTATTCAACACAAGCAGCGTATACAAAACGACTAGATATGGCAAATATTTCAAGGGTTGTGGAGCTATCTCCTCAGAGGGACGATTGGATCATAAGAGTGAAGGTCTTGAAGAAATGGACCGAGATGATAGATGGTGGTGGAGAAATATTGCGTTTTCAGTTAGTTGATGAACATGTAAGTTTCTCGATCATGAGTCATCTCATAACAATAGTATAGATAAAGTTATTAGCACGATTAATTTAGTAATTAAAAGCTAACAGAGTCTTTCTCTGTGTTTGAAAAATGGTAGGATGGAAAAATACCTGCTAAAGTTAGTGACGAGGATGGCCTATATGACCATTTCGACATGAATGTGCACGAGGGCCACTGGAAACTAATCTCCGGATTCGTCGTCGAGCTAACACCACCTGAGGAACTTTTCTCCGAGAATCAACATACAATCGTCTTCACCGACAATACAACCTGCATGCAGCAAGTGGTATTCATCAAGAGCACTATATGAATTTCAAGGACTACACAGACATAAAGAATTGGGTGTACAACTCTCATCATCCTCTTGGTAAGTCAACTCTTATGATCTCCTTATATTTGTACTCTGTTTGTGGAATTAATAACGAAAAGTTTAACAACTCTATCCAAAACCCTTAGACCTTATAGGCTATCTGGATGGAGTTGATGAGCTTAAAGTTGTCAAAGACCAGAACTTTACACTAGATAATAACAAGAAGACATCCAGAGTTATGTTCACCATAAGGGCTTAGAGTAAGTTAAGCAAGCTATGTTTGCTCGCATTTAAAAATTTCAACCTGTTATGTCTTTTTCTTTATATCTGACTAAGCTAATCGACATTTTTATGATTGGGACCATAGTGGAGTAACAATGGAATGCAAAGCTTATGGAGTCTTGGCTGTTCAAATACATGATAAATGGTGGAGGCATGGTTCAACAGAAACATTCATTACAATGAGTGATTGGATGGTTTACCAAGAACAAAGTATGAAACTTTAGTCTAATGAATTATTTTACGAGTGTATCTATTACCTAAATCCAACAACTAATTGAAAGAAATCATAGGAACTGGAGAGCTGAAGATTAAGGACGCTAGAGGAATTTCTAGATTTCAGTTCAAGGCTAACTATCAGGATGTTCTTGACTTTAGCGCTGAATAGTAAGTTAGACTAAGGTTTGACCCGTGCCCAGCACGGGGTGATAGTTTCTGAATTTGTATTTTTATTAAAATTTCTTTATTTAAATATTTCGGCATTTTATGCGAGAGATTTTTAATCATTTTTATTCGTTTATAGTATGAAAATTAGACATTTTAATCCATTTAAAAAAAAGAAATAAATTAAAGCATTGATCGTAACCACATATTAAATATGATAGATTTAACCGAGATACATAAAACTGTTATAACTAGTTTATATGGAAGCCCATTATCGGCCCATATTCTAGAATGTTCTAGCTTGTTCTCCAAGTGTATTCCTCTCCAAGTAAAAGCCTATATTGTAATCCTATATAAGTAGCTCATTACTGATGGAATAAAACACAACCAATTCCTCTCTTCTCTTGTTCTCTCTTCTTACTATAACACGTTATCAGCACGAGTCTCTAACCATTAGGTTAAAACCCTAGCCGTCTGAGTTAAGAGGTAAAAAGGAAATCAAATTTCCTCATTCTTTCTTTAAAGATGAATTTACAAGATACAATGAATAATTCATATTATTTTGTTGATCTGTGTTTATCATCTCAATCCAGAAGGATTTATATATCTATGAAAGATTTATATTTTATTTATCCCAGAAGGATTTATATGGTTTATTATTCTAATTGCATATATATTGTTCTTATTTATTTTTATTTGCTCTCTCTTATGATATTTGTTATTTTAATTGATTTTCGTAATATATTTAATTGATTACTAAATTGAATATTATTGACTATCATTTATAATCACCGAGTCATATTATAATTTAGAACAAAGCATTAGACATGCGTTAATTTTTGAGATATAATCGCATGGTTTATTTTTCTATTGCTTGACTAGAAATCTGTGAATTATTATTTGATTTATTGTTCATTCAGATTGGTAATTTTCTTCAAAGCTATTAAAGAAAACGTGAACTCCGTAGCTTGTTTCATAATCATAAAGCATCTTGAGTACTATGTTTGATTAATAAATTAGTCAATGTTTTAGTATCAATGATCTTGGAATTAAGATTTAATATTTGTTCACTTAGATGCTTATTACTTTCATTGATAATCTAAGTAAAATAATTTACTTGGCTGGTCTGTGATCTTATTTGATTTAAGCTCTGAATTTAATAGAATTCACTTATGCTTTGTTCACTTATCACTTATGGAACTTGATCTTATATATTGATACATAAGAAGAATTTTTATTGCAATAAGTTGCATCATCACCTCTTGTTTATCGGTTTACCTGATATTTTAATGTTTAGGTCTGATATCGTTGGTTTGATTTTTGCCACCACTGCTGAATGAACTAGGTAGTTTATTAGAAAACTTCATTTTGATGTTTGCTGTTTATTATTTTTGGAAATTGCTGATTTACTGATTGATTGCAAATTGATGTGCTCTTAGAAAGAATTGGTCTTGGCTGTTTATTAAAAATTACGGTCACTAGCACTATTAATGAATTTGATCTAATGATCTATCAAGCATATCAATCTGGTATTTATGCATATTCTATCTAGTATATAGGCACGTGTAGACTCATGATCTATGTTTGGCTAATTTGATCAGTAATTACATGTTTGTCATTTAATATTGTTTGACGAAATAATTACCTATTCGTTTGCGTAATAATAATGTCGTGAAAGGTAATGAAGATTCTATATTACTTTTGTTGATGATCATTACATTGTAAGTAATGATGCGTTATATGTTAGTACTTACCATAAAATGTTCACAATTTCTTACCATTTCTTTCTACTATGTTTTATGATTATATATTTACTTACCATTTTATATGTTAGTACTTACCATAAAATGTTCACAATTTCTTACGAGAAATTTAAAGAAAAGGTAAAATCATATAAATGTGATATAACTTAGATTATAATCTACAATACCTGAAGTTCTATAAGTGGAGGTAATATCTATGAAGATGTTATAATATATCACAAAAATATTGTTGTCTTGCAGACACAATAAATTATTACCACAAGTAATATGATCTAAAAACCTTAAAACTAAAGAAAATAAATAATCACTAGAAGTGATATGATTGCAATCTAAAGAAAATTATTGCATCTAAAATCACATAAACTTGAAGTTTATAAGTGAAAATAATACTATTAATACAAATGTATTAAAAGAAATCAGGAAACTATTGTTGTCCTGTAGACACAATAATATAAGTATGTTTAAAGATTATTTTTAAAATATTGTTGTCCAGTAGACACAATAGCAAAAAAATTCCTGATAGTTTCTAATATGTTAATTTCTTTAAAAAAAAAATTATATTTATCACCTGAAGTGATAAGAAAATGATACATATTACTAATATTAATTTTTATTATTATGCTTTATTTATACATATATGTTATTTGATAATATTTATTTATTTTTTTATATTTCTATATCTTGTATTTGGATCAAAGATTACAAGACCTGAAGTCTATATTTACATCAAATATTATAAGACCTGAAGTCTGTAAATAAGTTATAGTTATCTGGAAGATAATGTATAAGTTTTGATAAAATAATGAGTTATTGATGAGAATTTTGAATCTTGTCTAATTGGTTATGATCTATTCCCTGAAGTGAATGTGATATGTAAGTGAATAATTAAAATGTGACCATAGATATGAATCTTTTTATAGTTGATGTCAAGGTGAACATTAAAAAGTTCTATTTCAAAAACTCAAATTCTCATAAGAAGTGAGAAAATAAAGATGACTGCAAATAAAAGATATATATCTCTAGAAGAGCATATGAATATCTATTTGTTTATATGAATACAATCATTGATGCATTATATCTATGAATTCCCAAAAGTGAAAATGGTCAAAATATAATACAAATATCAAAAGTTTAGAGAATCAAAGATACCAAGACATGATTCAAGTTGGGTATGTTATTGATTTTATAGTAGGATTCAGTTCGAGATAGATGAACCTGAAGTATCATCATCTCGAGGGGGAGAATGGATGTGAATCTCACAATCAATAACAAATAGAACATCTAGAAGATTATGTTCACACTCAAGATAAACTTGATTATTGATCAAGAAAATATAAGAATTCATAACTCATAGTTCAGAAGATTATATTCAAAGATGAATGATTCTGATGAATCATAAATTCTGGTTTGAATACTTTCATATATCAAATATTATTTAGTGTAATAACAGTATTTTAGAGAAATTACAAACATTCTCTAATAGATTGTTATACACAAAAATGATATTATGGAGATAAATATTATATAGTAAACCAGAAGTTTACCGAATATAATATAGTTTGGCATGAGCTGGTTAGACCATTCCAGTTCAAGATATTATGCGAAATTAAAGATCCTTTTTAATGATTAAGAATTAAAGATTCTCCCCATCGAAATTGGTTTTGGGTCAGAAGCCTTTGGATGTGCAACATCTACATTGCTCCACCACATCAATATAAGATGGATCTTCAAAAGAGATTGTAGATGTTGGATATGAATCTCATTGATAATATCTAGAGCTATCCCTGAAGGATTTAAGTAAGGCTCGATTTACAGACTACCATGCTAATGGATAAGTCTTTCCAACATCAGGGGGAGAAAATAAAAGGCTGGAAAAGAAAAGTAGTTTGAATGAATTATCATTGATCCTCGGACTATAGAATGTGAAATAGAAGTTTGAAGATAATTCATTCACAAAACTTATTGTATCAGTTGCCAGATACATTTACTGACCCAAATATAGTGATTGAGTCACTTACCAGCTGTAAATGCTCTAATAAGAATTGATGTCCCAGAAGGACAATATCAAGCTGCTAGTGAGTCTAAAGAACGCATGAAGCGTGATAGACTTGTCGGTTCCAAATATTAGAATCCTCGGAAAAGTAAAAGAGCATAAATTGACAATGGTCAAACCGAGGAAACAAATATTTTTGAGTGATCTCCAGAAGAGACATTAAACATGACAAATAAGAAATTCAGGTACCTGAGACAATGATGAGATCTCGAGAAATTACTTATGTCATGTATAGAATAAATGGAACCAGAAGCAAATCGACGTCGTAAATAATATATTTGCATGCAATGTAGCAGTTGATATTATGAATGAGAAAGAGGATCATGAAACAAAGTCTATTGCATTGTGTACACAAAGTAATGATTTGGCCAAATCGAAAAGAAGCAATAGACACAAAACCAAAATCTCTTAGAAAGAGAAAAGTATTTGGACCAGAAGTCCTTTCACCTAAAAAGTGTGAAACAAGTGAGTTATAAATTTGGCATTTGTGCCGAAGAAGAATGAGTATGAAGAGATATACT